CTAGTCTTTATGGGTCATAACACAGTACTAGAAAACTAAGACCTTATTGTCTTATTCTGTGCTAAGACTAATAACACCACAGAATATAATATGATGTATATATATTTATTTTTATAATATATATATCATATGTTCTGTGCACGAATTAAGATATCTTAATTCGTGGTTCTGTGCTAAGACCGCGGTCTGTGGGTCATAATGTCATAACCTCATGTCTACGAACTGTAAACATCCGTTAACTTGGGGATAATAGCGWCTTAGGTCTATGCAGGACTAAGATAATATTTATTATTTATGTTCCAATATATAAATCACATTAATATGTCTAACTGTTTAAGAATGTACTCAAGATAGTATATAAGGACCTAAAGCTTAGACAGTTAGACCACAGAATAATTCTGTGGTTAGACCACGATGTAGATTAGCACATTATCTAAGACATAACACAAGGGTCTATAAATAAAATGCAACCTAATTTACATTTAGTCTTTTATATGTTTTATTATGTCTCACTGTTATACTATCATAATATTGGCTATTGCAAGAGTCGGAGTGGAGCTATAGAAGTATTGGCAGCCTCTATGGCTCTATCCTCCTAAGTTAATGACAGGTTTTATAACTTTTTATAAACTGTGATTAGAGTAAAATTTAGTTTTTAAGTACCCAAGGGCAGAAAAAAAATAATACATATTTTGTATTATAATTTTATTACATGATCATAAAAGTTATTTAAATTTTGATACATAATCTATAATTAATATTAATTATACTAAAACTACTCTATTAAAGCTTTTAGAAAACTGTTTAATTGTTCATTAGAAATAAAAGTATATTGGTATTTTATTGTAATAATGAAATGTGGAAAAATAATTTAAAATAAGGTACACAAGTGGGTACCATTTTGCGACACAGTAGTATTTTTTATAGGTGGAAAAATCTGTGAGGTATCTTCTATACAATTTTCTAATGTGAGCCAGGAAAAGAATTTTTAACTGTAAAAATGCAATTAATTTGCCATTTTTTGGAATTTTGACTAAGTTCTTAA